TGCTGCTGCTGCTGCTGCTGCTGGTTAGCTCATGCAGCAGCAGGGATATTTGTGCGGCTGTTGCTTTGCTGCTGCAGATCTCCATTCTTATTTGAGGGTTTTTTGTTATGTTAATTAGCAAGTCTAGTTTATTGCAAACTGATTCTGCTGCTGCTGCTGCTGATGATGATGCCGTTACCGCTGCTGCTGCTGCCCATGACTCTTCTGCTGTGGGCAGCAGCGCCTGCAGCAGAACTCCGCCGTGCTGCTGCTGCTGCTGCTGCTTCATTATTTGCTGCTGCAGGACATTCCGCATTGGGGCCTCAAGAGAAAAGTTGCACAGACACCTATGAGCTGTAGCCAGCAGCAGCAGCAGCTGCTGCTGCTGCTGCTGCAGCAGCACAGCTTCGGCGTAGCAGCAGACCCGCTGCTGCAGCGAGAGCCGGCAACTCCCCCTTTCCTTGCAAGCTGCTGCTGCTGTTCTTGTTGCTGCTGCTGTTGCTGCTGCTCCCCAGTGCAGCAGCAAGCCTGCTGTGGTTTCATCTGCTGCTGCAACTCTGGCCATTTCCTTGCGCAGCCTGCGGTGTACAGACAGCTCGCCTAGCAGCGAAGCAGCAGCAGCAGCAAGCGACGGCTCCTGCAGCAGCAGCAGCAAACTCGGCACTGCAGGCAAAATTAGGGATTCATACAGGGCTGCTGGGCTGCTGCTGCTGCACAGCAGCAGCAGCAATTCCAGGGCAGGTTTGCAGTCGACTTTGTTGCTACTGCTGTCACTGCTGCTGCTGTCATTGCTGCTGCTGCTGTCACTGCTGCTGCTGCTCTCTTGGCTTGCTGCTGGCTTTTCTTCCCCCTCAGCTTCAGCAGCAGCCGAAGCTTTTGTCATCTCTTGCCCCTGTAGCTCATCCACTTTCTGCTGCTGCTTCTGCTCCTCATTCTGGGCCTGCTGCTGCTGCTGCTGCTGCTGCTGCTCTTGCTGCTGCTGCTGCTGCTGCTGTCGCAGCCTACTTCTAAGGGCCATGGTGTACAACCGAATGTCCTGCAGCACAAAGTCGAGGAGACACCTCGCGGGCCCTCTGGGCAGCCGCAGCAGCAGCGAAGCAGCAGCAGCAGCAGCAGCAGCGCGAGGCTGCAACGTGCACAGCATTGCACGGGCAGTAGCAGAATCTTTGATTTGTTGCAGCAGCAACGCGATAGTTTGGGGAGACAGCCGGTGCAGCAGCCCGCCACGCTGCTGCAGCTCCACAAATGCAGCAGCAAATATCCCTGATGCATTGTCTCCTGCTGCTGCTGCTGTTTTTTCTGAAGCTCGTTCATCTGTGGATGCTGCTGCTTCTGTCTTTGCTGCTGTTGCTGCTGCTGCCGTCGCTGCTTCTGTTGTTGCTGCTGGTGATGCTGTTGCCTCTGCTGTTGTCGTTGCTGCTGCTGCTGTTGCCTTATTTGTTGTTGCTGCTGCTGTTGCCTCTGCTGTTGTTGCTGCTGCTGTTGTGGGCTCCGAATCTGCTGTTGATGCTGCATCTTCAACAGCTCCTGGAGCCGAA